AAAATCACAAAGTATCTACCTCCTGTTTCTAATCTTGTAATTAGTAAAATTACAATAATTTAGTACTAACAATACAGCTAGCTATAAAGAAGTTTTCTTGATATTTTTAATTCAATAAGTTTCTAGATTCAGTTTCCTATTCTAGTCTTTTGTTTTTGTTTGTTTTGTCTCTTTCTCTCTCAAAAGATATTTATCTCTGTAGTCTTAACAGAAGAAATACTTAAATTCTTGTTCAAATCTATAAAAAGTAATTATGCAATAATTGTTACTTCCAATCAGTCAAGAGCATTACCCTGGTACATTTCCTCTTTTCTCATTAAGCAATGAATGCTTTCTGGTGTGGTTAATACACTTAACTTTACAAAAAATAATTTTTATCTACTTTTTAAAATAAAAATAAATCACATTTTCACTTTCTCATTTCATTTCTGCAACTTAGTTTTTATTTCTGCTTTACAGTCTATCACTTAATCAAATTTCTATTTTTGACAAATTTTCCATTCCATTACCTCAATATTTTTCATTGTAAGTCTCAAATACCTTATAATATGGCATGTTGAACATTTCTTTTCCTATTTCTTGTTTTTGTTTTCAATTGTTCTTTCTTACTCATAAGATAGAAGTATATGTAGGTATTGTTTTTTTTGTGGAGGAATTATTAGTTTACAGATTCATGAGAACAAAAAACAGTTGTGTTCATTATTAAATCATAGTTGAATATTTTGTTTGTGCATTATCCATATAAACTCATTATGCTAGAAATAATCTTCATATTTATTTTAGTTTCCTTCTTTCAATCATTTCTCATTTTGCCTATCATTTACACTATTTAAAAATATTTCTTATCTCTTTACATAGTTAATCTTCTGTTTTTCGTATTGCTGTCTTTTTATATTTTCCTCTCACTTTCAATTTTATTTGTGGATGCTTCTTTTTTACCAATCTTTTTTATTTGTTTAATTTTGACTTGTTCTCATCTTTTTTAATTTGTCTCATCTTTCTTGTTTTTAGTTTTTTGTTTCTCCTCTTTTTCACATCTTTCCTTAGTTCTTCTTGTCTTTGTCTCGCCTCTTTTTAGTTCTTCTTGTCTCTTGTTGTCTGAGTTTTTCTTGTTTCACTTCTTTTTAGGTTTTCTTGTCTTTCTCCTCCTCTTTTTCTCATTTCAATTTTTTTTTAGTTTCTCATCTCACTTCTTAGTTTTTCTGGTCTCTCCTCTTTTTAGTTTTTTCATTTCTCCTCTTCTTAGTTTTTCATGTCTCTCTTCTATTTATTTTTTCTTGTTTCTCCACTTCTTAGTTTTTCTCCTCTCCTCTTTTAATTTTTCTCTTTTCTTTTTTTTTTTTTTACTGTTTCTCATTTCTCTTCTTTTTACTTTTTCTTGTCTTGCCTCTTTTTACTTTTTCTTGTCTCGCCTCTTTTTACTTTTTCTTATCTCTCATATTTTTACTTTTTCTTATCTCTCATATTTTTAGTTTTTCTCAATTCTCTCTTTTTAGTTTTTTTCTTGTTTCTCCTCTTTTTAGCTTTTCTTGTCTCTTCTTCTTAGTTTTTCTCTTTTCTATATTTAACTTTTCCCATCTTTCATCTTAGTTTTCTTCACTTCTATACTTTTTAGTTTTTTCCATCTCTCTTCTTCTTAGTGTTTCTCATTTCTCTTCTTTTTAGTTTTTATCGTCTCTCTTCTTCTTAGTTGTTCTCGTCTCTCTTCTTTTTAGTTTTTATCGTCTCTCTTCTTCTTAGTTGTTCTCGTCTCTCTTCTTTTTAGTTTTTATCGTCTCTCTTCTTCTTAGTTGTTCTCTCTCTTCTTTTTAGTTTTTATCGTCTCTCTTCTTAGTTGTTCTCGTCTCTCTTCTTTTTAGTTTTTATCGTCTCTCTTCTTCTTAGTTGTTCTCGTCTCTCTTCTTTTTAGTTTTTATCGTCTCTCTTCTTCTTAGTTGTTCTCGTCTCTCTTCTTTTTAGTGTTTCTCGTCTCTCTTCATTTTAGTGTTTATCGTCTCTCTCCTTCTTAGTGTTTCTCGTCTCTCTCCTTCTTAGTGTTTCTCATCTCTCTTCTTAGTGTTTCTCGTCTCTCTTCTTCTTAGTTGTTCTCGTCTCTCCTTCTCTTAATTTTTCTTCTTTCTCTTTTCAGTTTTTCTAGTCTCTCATCTTCTTAGTTTTTATCGTCTCTCCTCTTAGTTTTTCTTGGATCAAATTTCTTCTTTCTATTCATACATTTCAATTATGTGCCAACAGCATACCCTTTTCTTTCCATAAACCATTTGCAAAATTTCTTTTCAAATAATCACAATTAGCAATATGTGTCTATTTATTCCTACACATCCCATTGCAGTATCTTTCAATTCTTATTTCTTCCTCCAGCAAATCTCTTTCTACTGACAATGAACAATTATTTTAAATTATATATTAAAATTCTTTAAGACTCTAACTTTGAAATCAGTTCTTTTTAGAACTGAGATATCCTAACAAAAATTACTTATTACTTTATTTTTAAGATCCTCTTTTTATTTATTTTTTTAGCCTAAACAGTAATTTTATTTTTCTATCTTTGCTGTATTTAATAAACTACAATCTGCAAAACAATTTCCTTTAAATTCTTGTTTTGTTTTCTCTTCAACAAGAACAGTTACATCTCTTCATTTTATTATTTCTTTTTACTTATTATTTTATTAACTGAAGTTTTTGAAACATAGGGATCCCTGATGTCACCAATAAAAAATTACAGTTATCTCTTTTTTATTTTGTTATATGAAAGTTTTATATACAACTTTTTGTATCAACTTAAAATCAAAAAGGAAGGAATAAGAGAAGAAAATGTCATTTCAGCCAAATGCTAAATTGTATTTTCATTCATTCAGATTAATTTTCTTTGTAATCACATTTTGACTTCCCTCAGTTGCCTGTTGTATTCTTAAATGCCAAAATTTATTCTGATGGCACATGTACTGCCACTCCTTTACACATAGTTAGTCACAGATGATTTTAAAGCCTCTCCATAGATAGCAACTTTTGGATATTCATCAAATCTTATTTTTATGAGATAGTTGGTCTTACTGGTATTCCTTTAAACAAAGTTCTTGGTGATATTTTCTTTCAATTAGGGTTTGATAAGGTGAAAGATGAAAACACACCAACTTTTATGAAATGGACTCAGAATAAAAGACATGGAACAGCTGTGTTTTAGGTTTAAGTCATATTTCAATTTTTAAAGAATTATAATTATTTTTTCTTGACATGAGAATCAAGTAATATTTAGTCATTATCCTTAGCAGGTAAATATTGATAAAAATTAACTTTCTTATTTTCTTTGGCAGTATTTTTCTGTATATTTTGAATTTCAAATTAAAATGATGCTCAACATTATATAATCTGTATACATCTCAATGTGATTGTAAATGATAATTATATTCAGTCATTACAATAAATCATTAAACACAAACTCATGTTTCATACTGTTAGGACATACTCCAAAATATATTCAGTTCATGTTCCTCTAAATTTATAATAATGACATCCTTGTAATATTAAGATTGCTTCTAAGATAACATGCAAGTTGAAGGTTTTCTTTTTTATGACCAATCATCACAATTTGGTTTGCAAAGATCAACATTTCTATCTCAAAGATTTTATATTGAGCATCAATGATTATTATTATCATCATCATTACAATTCTTCTACGTAAATTTTCACAACATCTCAGACAGCCATTCAATAAATGGTAGCAGAATTGAAAATAAAGAATAAGTCTCCCAGAAAATTCAAACACACTTCTTTTTTCTTGGGAAACCAATCTTAGCAAAACAGCTGCCAATTAAACTAGGGAGGCCTACCAGCTGCAGAAGCTCAAATCTAACATATAACTTTCATTCTTCTCTTTTTCAAATGTCTTGTCCCTTCAGGACATTGGCAAGCATTGCTCTCCACAGATCCCGTTTCTATATTATTTATGAATTATGATGAGTTCTTGGGGGAGTTGCATCATATTGTCATTCAAGACTAGAGAACCCAGTCTATTCTGCTATTTAATCCATAGAAGAGGGGAGAAGAGATGGATTCATGCATTTTGCAAAGATATTTATGTGAAGAAAATGCAGCAGACTAGGAGCAGTTTGAACTCAGATTATTGATTCCATTTTCTGCATCACTAACCATTATAATTTACTTTCTCTAAATACCCAACTCATTGCAAATATAATCAGAATTTAGTTTTTTTGTATAGTGGTAGGATGAAGACACTGAATGTTAATTAAACTTTTTAATTATGGTCAGAGTTAGTACCCTACTAAAAAATGTAGATACTGCATATTGGGTTAGGTTTTATTGAAAAGAAAGAAAAACGAAATTCTTGTCATGTAACAAAGATATTGCATTTTGTAATTTGGAAGCAATGATTATTGATTTGTACTATTAAAATCTGTAATTCTTCATCAAATCATTCATTTTCTTAAAAAAAAATATTTACATAATTCATTTAATCTTTTAATCATATAAATGTTCTTTTTAGACCACAATTCTAAAGTTGGAACATTTTCAAAGTAAAATTCCAAAGCAAAAGGACAGAAATCATGGCACTAAAATCATTTCAATAATTTATTACTAAAGACACATAGAATTTAAAACAAGCTACAGCCAAAAATCAAGACACAAACTCTTATACAATATCCTCACATCAAACAAACAAGTAATATCTTGTTATTGTCTATTTAGGCATTAAAAATAAATATTATCTGAATAATAAATGTTATGCATTGATATATTCTACTGAAAATTTATATTTCAGTATTCTTTAGTGATTAAGATTTTCAGCTGGTGAAGACTGATTTCAAAATGTGAATACTTTCAATTCTTATGAAAAGCAATGAACTGTTCTTTTTAATTTGAAAGAAATTGTTCATTTCTCATTTTATTTTTATGATTTTAATACACAATATTGCCTCTATCTTGAAATGTCATGATAATCAAATTGAAAATTTAAATAAACTTTGAACTTTATTTTGTTTTAGGTATCGCTGTCTAAAATGCTTCAACTTCGATGTTTGCCAAAATTGCTTCTTCTCAGGGCGGAAGGTTAAAAGCCATAAACTAAGCCATCATATGCAAGAATATTGTACTTCAGTAAGTAATTCTTTAATTATAGAATATCTTTTGTATGTTATCCTTTATGTTCCATTTTGTTTTTACTTAAAACATTGCTGTAAAAAGTAAATAAATAGAAGGTGAAATACAAATATTTGTAAAATTCTAATTTATTAAGAAAAATTATGTCTGTTATCAGCTTTGACTTCTGTCATGTTCATTAGGTTTTTTTCCAAACTCAAACAAGAGAAGTTCATATGGAACAGCAATGTCTTAAGAAAACCAAATGTATCCATTTTAAAAGTTACAATTTCATTATTTTTATGTTTATTAGTGTTTCATAGTGCATAAACTCCAAACATGAAACATTTTTTTGTGAATTATTGTGTAAATTTGAATTTTAGCATATAAATAACATATTTTAGCAATCTTTAATTATATATTGAGAAAAAATTCATTATATATAATTTTTATTTATGATTTTATCTTTTATTTTAATTTACAGACAACATCAGGAGAAGATATTCGAGATTTTACAAAAGTATTGAAGAACAAATTTAAATCCAAGAGATATTTCAAAAAGCACCCACGGTTGGGTTATCTTCCTGTACAGACAGTATTAGAGGGTGACAATTTAGAAAGGTGAGATATTTTATTTTTTAATACTCTTTCTTTCTTTGGAAGATGTTGATGAAATATATGTGCTTTGTTCTCAGGTTTGTAAAATGCAACAGAAAGACACTTATTAACTACACATTTCAGTTCAAAAGAAAATAAATGCTTTTGAATGTTATGTGATCTGTAATGATATTGAAAAATATGTTGGGCATGCTAACTCTTCTTTTTGCATAAATAAATTTTAAAGATATTGATAGCATTAAATCTACCAATTGACCAACAGCAGAAATTTAAAACTAAAAGCAGCTACTAGAAATAATTTATATTAATGTTTTTTTGGAAAGCATGTGCTTCAAACTTTTACCTGTAAAAGAGAGTTATGATCATTTATTCTCTCAACTCCAAAACCTTCATCAAACTTTGCAAAAACAAATACACAAAGCAAAAAATAACTTGTCAAACCCAGTTAAAATTAATGGTAAACTAATGCCTGAAATTTACAGAATCAAATACAATAGCCTTTAACCTATTCTCTGAGAGAAGAAAGAAAAAATTATTTTTTGAATGTGGTTGAATCTTTTTATTTATATTTTTTCTCTTTTTGGTTATGAATTTTAAAATAGACTCAATGACTTTATTAAAAAAAAGCTTTTATTTTCTGTAGATTTTATGCTTTTTTTTCATGATATAAAAATAATCATAGAATACATTGAAAGGTGTTTTCCAACGATTCTGTTTGCATTCCAGTGATATTGTGGTAAAATATTAAAGGATGGCTTGACAGTTTGGGAGAGAGATTCATTATGTTCTTCTTGTGTTGAAAGTGATTCACTTGCGGTTTTTCATGAGTTTTTTGTTGTGTTATGTGGAAGTAGAAAAACTTAAACACTCTTTAGATATTAATTTTTTCTATTTATATTTATATATATATATATATATATATATATATATATATATATATATAGTATAGATCTGATAAACTCTTTGTCAACCACTGAGTGCCTATTGAGAAGCTCGTCAAAATGTTCACACCATCTCAACAGAATATCATCAGGATCTTGAAAAAGATTTTTTGCCATCCTTAGTCCTTAGAGGAGCAACAGGTGAAGTAGAAGGCCCATAAACTTCATGAATTATATTGTACATGATGTTACTATCCTTCACATTCTGACACAAACTGTATTTCATCAGCTTTATCACTCCACCATTTGTTCTTCATTGTGCACAGATTTTGCAGTTACTTTCGCTTTTATTGTTTTTAACTTGGACTCAATTTTCTTCTGATCACCAGGTAAATCACTATAAAGTAATGCAGAATGGAGTTTATTTTTCTCTACCAAGAGCTTTTCTATGTGCTTGCCATTTGAAGAGATTGAGAGTACAGTCAGAAGGCTTAATGATGGAAAGTTACCTGGAATGGATGGGCTGCATGCCAAAATTTTTAAGCACAGAGGAGAAAGTCTTTTTCATCGGCTTCATTCGTTGTTGCTAGATGTCTGGAGTAATAACAGTGTTCTGGATGACTGGAAAGATGGTGTCATGGTTGTTTTGTACAAGGGCAAGTGGGACAGGGATGATTGTGGAAATTATTGTGGCATATTGGTGTTGTCAGCAAGGTTCTTTGTGAAGTTCTGCTGGATCGCTTGTTGCACCATATTGCTAATGAAGCTCTTCCGGAGTCACAGTCTGGCTTTAGGGCTGGACATGGCACTGTAGATATGATCGTCACAGCCAGACAACTGCAAGAAAAGTGTGTCGAGCAGAATATGGATCTCTACCAGGTTTTTGTCAACTTGACAAAGGCATTTGACACCGTAAACAGAAAGGCTTTGTAGAATATTTTAGGGAAGCTGGGATGTCTTGAAAAGTTTGTTTCCATTCTTTGCTTGTTTCATGATATGAAGGCAAGGGTTAATGTTGGTGGAAAGCTCTCTGAGCCAGTGACAGTTGAAAATGGAGTTAAGCAGAGCGAGATTCCAGCTCCAACCCTATTTGCCCCTATACTTCATTTTGTACCCTGTACCATTTTTGAACAGGCCTTTAAGAACTGCAACTTTTGTATTTACATTCGCTATCATTCAACAGGAAGGCTGTTTAACATCAAGTGTTTTATTCAAAGCTGAAGGTTCATTTGTCGTTGATCAGGGATTTGCTATATGTTAATGTTTGCAATCTTGTGGCTCACTAAAAGGAGATATGCAGCATCTCATGGATGCTTTTTCTAATGCATGCACTGCACTGGGATTGACTATTAGCTTGAAAAAGACAGTAATCATGTACCAACCAGCTCCAAGGAAGCCATATTGTTAACCAAGCATCTTTGTCTATGGTGAAAGGTTAAAGGCTGTTTGTGCATTTGTGTATCTTGGGAGCATGTTGTGCATGTTCTGTGATCTTGATATGGAAATTTCAAACTGCATACAAAAAGCTAGCAATGCATTTGGAAAACGAAATAAATGTCTGTGGTCTCAACATGGAATTTCACTGAGTATAAAGCTAAAGGGCTATCTTGCATGTGTGCTTACAGCACTTCTTTATGCTTGCGAGTTGTGGGTGGTTTACTGCAGAAATATGGAAAGGCTTTAGAGATTCCACCAGTACTGCTTACATCATATCATTGGCATTACCTGGCAAATGTTTGTTAGTGATCTAGATGTGCTAGAAAGGAGCGGCTGTGATAGTATTGAGCCCTTGATACTAAAACATCAACTTAGGTGGACGGGCCACCTTGTTAGAATGGATGATAGCCATATTCCAAAGCAATTGTTTTATGGTGAGTTGCGAACAGGGAAGAGAAATGCCATCAAACCTAAGATGCGCTTTAAGGACTGCATCAAGGATGCACTGAAGAAATGCAACATTCCTTGTTGAGCACTGGGAAGAATGTGCATCTGATTGCAATAATTGGAGTGAGACTGCTTGGAGTGGAAGGAAGAGAAGAGTAGGCATGCAAGGCTTAAAAGAGATGTGCATAAAGGCATCCCTGTTGAACTTCCTGAAAACACATGTAGGCAACTTGATCTGATGTGTACACATTGTGATAGTGTGTTTTTCGATGGATGGTCTAAGGAGTCACTTGAGAGTGCACCCACAGAGGATGGCAATTGACTATAAAGCCATAGACATCCAGCAACTGAAATGTGATATTTGCGGTAAGACATACAGACTCAGAAGTGGTTTCATGCGACATTTTAAATTGCATGATAATGTAACACCCACTGTTGCACCTCTTAAGTGCCCTTTTTGTGCCAGAGTATATAGGTCTCTTGTTGGGCTAAAGAGCCACATTCGTTCAGCACATTAGTAGATATCCTCCAGAAAGATATGTAGTAATGGATGTACTTGGACACAGGTTGGCAACAACTATATATATATATATATATATATATATATATATATATATATATATATGTGTGTGTGTGTGTATATGAATTGTGTTGCATGCATTATATTTGTTAGCTGTGAAAAACAAAATTATCAACCAAGTTTGAATTTCTGTTGAGCTTGCTTATGTTCCCATTAATTTTTTGGAATTAAATTACTACTCCAGTTTGGTAATTGCGTCAACATTTAAGTGGGTTGGCATAGATATACAAAAATGTCAACATGTCAGTGTATTTATAAACTAAAGTATAAATATATAGACATGTCAAAAGACTTAGAATAGCAATATGTAAAAGTGATGGTAAGTTCTGCTGCAAAATTTGATCTAATATATAATGAATGTCATATCTGTTTAATTATGTCAGGTCTTAAAAATCATTAAATATCACATGTACACAGTGAAGTCATTCATTACACATTGTGGTATTTATGTAACAATTACTACAAAAGACACCCAAAATTGCCACTTCTGTGCCATATCTGCACTGCTTATATTTAAGGTTGGATCAAGAAATGGCATTGCTCAGAATTGAGTTGCAACCATCATCATGTGCCAACATATTCTGGCACCATGGAAATTCCTATTTATATCAGTTGTGCTTTGACATCTGATGAAGCTAACATTTGAGTGCAAACAGAGCATGATAGTGGGTGCCAGATGGATAGGACAGACCACTTCTGAAATTGTGGAGACATTTGACATCCCTTGATCTAAGATGCCATGTTTAATCCAGGAATACATGATGGAAAGTATGTGATACTCACCATGGACCAATTACTGACCATGGGTCCTTAATCATCATAACCAGAAGCATCTGGATAGAATTGTCTACAGTAACAAACAATCAATATTAGCTCAAAATTGCATCAAGCTTTAAAGCAGGAGTTATCAGACAGATATCCAGCATTTCAGTTCAACATACTTTAACTCAAATCAGATTACATACATACATACATACATACATATATATATATATATATATATATATATATAGGTGCCCAAAAAAAGTTTTTGCCAATTTTTATTACAGAAATTAAAGATGCATATTTAAATGTATTTATTCATCAAAATATGAACCATCATATTCTATGACCTCCCAACAGTTCAACAACTGAGTAATGCTATTTTTGTAAAAGTCCTTAGTTTTACTTTGGAAAAAGTTATGCACTTCCTTTTTCAAATCATCTTCATTATTAAATGTCCTGTTCTTCATATGATTATCTAAGCCTAAAAACAAGTGAAAATCTGTTGGGAAGAGGTCTGGTGAATACAGTGGATGAAGCATAATCTCCCACTTTAGCTCTGCTATCTTGGCAAGGGTCATTTTTGCAACATGTGGGCGAGCATTGTCCTGGAGAAACAAAACCTGTTTTCTGTTTACTAATGCAGGCTATTTCTTCAACAAATTTTCCTGAACTTGTTCAAGCTGCTCACAATATTTGTTATCAGTAATGGTTTCACCCGTTTTTAAAAACTCATAGTGAATTATTCCTTGACACGTCCACCAAACACACATCATAAGTTGTTTTTGGAATAGTGGTGCCTTTGAAGTTTGTGGCAAAGGATCACCCGGTGATAACCTATGATGTTTCCTCTTAGAGTTTGTATACATGATCCACTTTTCATCACATGTCGTAAT